CTAGTTTTTAAAGAGTTATAATAGCCTAACATTTAGACTATTATTAATGAAATTAATATACTTAGTAAATTTCATGGTTGTTTTTGAGAAGATTAGTTTAAATATTTCTAAATCTCTTGACTTTTAATTCATTTTTATGTATTTTTTTTTTATTTTAAAGGTCAGGTTTTGTTAAAATGGTGGTTGAGCTTTTGGAAAGAAGGCTTGCTTTAGGAACACAGGCTTGCTTATTCATTCATTCAGCACATATGTTATTCATTGGCTATTTAGAGAATAACTTCTATGTCTGTTTTCAATAGTACCTCACCCTCTACTTAGAGTACTCAAATGTAAACAGATGATTAAATAACAGTTGTTTAATAGTAAGGGTTATAATTGTTATGAAAAAACAAGAGAAGAAATAGAATAATGATAAATGTTCAGATGTCTTTGTGCTTTGTTTTTATGGAATAAGTTGGTTAAGTAAACTTCTATATGGTTAGTTAAGTTAAAAATAAACAACCTTTTTTTTTTTTTTAATGACCAGAAATTCTTTCTTTTTTTTTTTTTTAAACCAGCATACACAAATTTGAATTTGCTTTTTTATGATACTGGTACCTAAAAATCTGAGTCTGTTTAAAAGCAGAGAATTTTACTTTTTATAAATGTTTTCTTTCTTTTTTTGCTGGTACTAGGGATTGAACCCAGGAGTGCTTAACCACTGAGCTATAGCTCCAAAACCCCTTTTTATTTTATTATTTTGAGAATCTCATTAAGTTGTCTAGGCTATTGTTGAACTTGTGATTCTCCTGTCTTATGTTTTCTATATAGTGTGCATGCGGAAATCATGCAAAAGCTCCTGCAGCATGTACACATGGGAAAATCCACTTATGATTTCTTATACATAGTGTGTTGTTTTTCCTCTGCCTACCATTTGGGGGACAAATGATACAGCTTTTTCTTCTAATATTTTGCTTATATTTTTTTCCTACTCATAGATAACTCATAAACCCAACTCCAATATTCACATTCTGATAAGTTGTTGCCAGGAATACCAATAATGTAAAAAGTTTTAAATCCCTTATTGTGTTTTAGTAAAATATATAATTTCCTTTTATTTTCCTTTCTTTAGTTAAGTTAGCATTCCCTTCTTCATCCTTCCCCCCTTTAGAGTTCTGAGACTCTTTTGTAGATAATGATCTACAAAATTAGGCAATTTCTAATTATTTGCTTTATCATCTGTTAGGGCTATTGATTTGACAATTTAAAATTGTTCCTTGAGGACTCTTTATCAGTATTTTGAGATGTTCATATATTGCTCTCAGAAGGTGTCTGTAATCTAATTTTTCTTATTGTTAGGAAATATTCATAAAAAACAATGACTTTATTTTTCTTTATATAATCTCAATGCTTTTGTATAATTCACAGGGTAGAATATTAAATGTGTATTTTATTTGATATCATAACTCATATTGGTTCTTTTTTTCCTTTTTGAAAGAAACTTGTTTAATAACTTCAAAATATTTTATTTTGGATATCCTTGTTGACCTAGTACCACATTACCAAGACCTGGCTCTTATAGGGTGACAGCATGGTTAAATTATTATTTAGTTTCCTTTTCATAGTGATAGAAAACTTTGAAAACCCAAACCACAAACCTCAAAGTACTCTTAAAAAGTGGTGAAATTATTGTTTCATATGTTTATGCCCTTATCTGAATTTGAGTCTTTAGGAAAAAATGAATAAACTTTAAAAGTCTCAAGTTGATTGCTTTATTTTTCCTAATATAATTTTGTGGTATGCCAAATAATGGGCTCCCAAAGATACCTATACTCTAATCCCTAGAAATTGTAAATATGTATCTTAAATAGTAAAAGGAATTTTGCAGATGTGATTAAGGGCATGGACCTTTAGATGGTAAAACTTATCTGGATTACATGAGTCCTTAAAAGCACACCTTTATTAGCTAGTTAGAGGATGGAGAAGGAGGAGAGATCAAAGTAAGAACAGCTCAATTTGCTGTTACTGGCCTAAAGATCGAGGAAGGGAATCACAAACCAGGGAATGCAGGTGGCCGTTAGAAGGTACAAATGGTCAGTAAGGAAATAGGGACCTCAGGTTCTACATACAGCTGCAACAAAGTGAATTCTGCCAACAATCCACATGATCAAGGAAATCGACCCTGTCCAGAGCCTCCAGAAAGGAAGCCAGCCCTACCAACACCTTAATTTTAGCTCTTGTAGAACTATAAGACAATAAATATGTGCTCCTTTATGCCTCTAGGTCTGTGGTAATTTCTTACAGCAAATAATAGAACATGAATACTTTGTAACTGCAGTTCATGGCCAACCTAAACAATGAGTTATGTCAGTAGAAGGATTTCACTACAGTGAGACACTGTTAACAAATTTCTCTCATTAGCTATTCTTTTGATTTAAGAAATTATAATTTCTTAAAATATAATAGTATCTCGGGAGTAATTTATTATATTGTTCTTTCAGAATAAGTAAGTTGGTAAATTTGGTAAGTAATTTGATTATCTAAGAGTAGATTTTAGATGAAAGAGTAAAAAAGGAAACAGTTTATGGTTAATCTGGGGAGGTGTCCCTTTCTGGGGAAAATTTTGACTAGCTATAGACTACTACTAAGGTTGTGACTATTTGGGTAGATGCCAGTGATATTTGCACACATTCAAAATCCAACTGGTCTGCCTCACAGTTTCTCAAGACTAACCTTCCTTTGTACAAAAATATATTTCTGAGTCTTTCAAAACAGCAATTGATTTATCATGTGTTGCTTAGTGTCTCAATTTTGCCAAGGCGGCTTTGATCCTCCTGTCTCAGCCTCTTACTTTTGATCATCTTACTTTTGCTGTAAGCCTTGTGAACCTGATAACGTAACTCCCAAGTTCCCACACTAAGCTCTCTTCAAATTAACTAATCGAACTCTGTCTCAGAAAATCAGCTAGGTAGTATCCTGGACCCCATTAAAAGCTTCTTCCTCTCTCTCTTCTTACCTGATGGTTGAGCACCTGAGTCCTAAATGGTACCTACCTTTGGTACTGGGAGGTGAGTTTCTTTCTTCTCTCATGGATCTATGAATAATTAACCTTATCTTCCCACATTCCCTCCAACTGTTCCTCCCTGTGCCAAACCTGACTATGCCAAACTTTATTTACATCCTTACTTAAATCACAACAGCACACAAAATCACTTCTGAAGTTTTCTTGTCAAAAAATTGAACCTGAATTTGGTCAAAACTCTTAAATCTAAGTATCAATTTATATGAAATAAAGCTGACAGAAGAACATGTTAAATAGCGCCACGAGAATACAAATGGCAAAATCCAGATGTGGAAAACTTTTTAGAACAAATGATCAAGTTTCTGCAACAGCAAAAATCTGCAAGGCAAGAAATAATGTGGAAAATGGGACTTAGAAGAAAACATATCTAAGAGATTTATTTTAGCCAATCGCAATGATTGTACCTTATTTGCATTTTGATTTAAACAAACTGAAAAAACATAATTTAAAGTAAATATTTTAAAAATATGAATCTATGGTTTTAAAATACAAGTTAAGTTCTCTTCCATCTATGCTGTAGGAATTGACTAAATTGAAAATGAAAGATTTGGGTAATCCGGCTTCAAAACCTTAAGTGGTATCAATACATCAAGTCTTATTTATCTCTGTCAACCACTTTTAATATTCATATAAAATAGTTATGTGGTAGTATTTCATAATTCTTGTTTGTCAGACATATTATGGGTTAATTTATTTTTATTGCCAGAAGCAGATTATTTTTGTCTTTGAAACTCTCAGTCTTTACTTATTTTCTAAAAAGATATATTGAAATGTATATGTTCTTTTAAAAAAATATATTTGTAATTCCAGAAAAGGAAATTTAATATTTCGTACTGCTGATGAAGCAAAGCTTATAATTTATTCATTACCCCCTTAAGGTAATGTTTAAGCAGCATTTAGGGGTTCAAAAAGAGTGAAAAAGATGAAAAAAAAATGTTAGTGAGTGGTAAAAGTCATTCACTATTTTATTTTATGTATGAATTTTTTATTAGGAATTTAAAGTTTTGTATTACAGTAGTATAAATTAGTGACTTTTTTCTGTTTTTCATTTCTCTCATATTTGTTTTTGGAGGGAGCCTATAGCTAATAATGAGTGTTTCCTCCCTGCTTTCCTTTGGTACAGGGATAGAAGCACTCTACCACCGAGCCACACCCCCCAATTCCTAATAATGCATATTTCTGCAAAAATAATAATGTAAAACAAAACAAAAAACCCCAAAGCATCAATAACAGAATTCAAGACTTAAATTTGACTCTAGGTTATAAGGAAAGAAAACATGCATGTAAGTTTAGTCAAACAAATTAATCATCCTTTTTGCAAATATGTATGTTGCATCTGAAAAAGGCCTCTAGTACCATCTATCAAATAGTTTTTTTTCCTTGCTGTCTTCTTGTATACATATGCAAGAATCTCTTTTGTCTTAGTTGATGCTTATTGATCTCTAGATTAGTTCTGAGAGGATAGATGTACTTCAACTTTTATGATTTAGAATGTGTATTAGAGATGTTTTAGTGACATTTTGTGTTTAGTTTCAGTTTTTGCTGACATTCTTGAAATACTATAATCAGAAATTTTTAGATGTAGAGACTATAGAGAACTTTAAGATATCTTACTTTGTTTTGTCCTACAGAATCTTTGCGTTTACCCTTTCAGTATTATTACTTGAAAGTAATCATGTGAATGGAAATGGTATGTTTTTACAGTCCTTGAGAGATTTCATGTAATGTTTTATCATGTTTTTCTACTGAATACTTTTAAAATATATGTGTATCTTCTGTTCAGTATACTAGAATTTTATTAAGAAAACATTTCTAATAATTCAAAGATAAAGATACATTCTTTTAAAAAATTATCTTAATATGTTAATGTGATCAGTTTTAAATTTTTACAAACATTTTTGTTTTGTTCAGTCAATTTTTCTTTCTTTTTTCCCTTCAGTGGTCTTATGCTTTAGAAAAACCCAACACTGGCAGCATATTTAATATTGCATGGTCAATTGATGGCACTCAGATTGCTGGAGCCTGCGGAAATGGGCATGTTGTTTTTGCACATGTAGTGGAGCAACGTTGGGAGTGGAAAAATTTTCAAATAACATTAACTAAAAGACGGACTATGCAGGTATGATTATGATCATAGGATGATTGAGCCTGCTTCTTTTCATATTACTTCACTATATATAATATAGAATTATCTTTGTTATATTTACTCAAAATTTATGAAAATTCAGGCACATTTGAACCATTTTAACTATGCCATTAGTTGGTCACCTTTTTATGATGATAAGAACCTTTCATTGAAAGAGAATCGAAACGGCTGTAGTTACTGTGGTTATAGATTTAGGATAGCTTTGTGGAATTTGAACCGTTTATGAAATATGTGAATTTAATTAAGGAAGAAGCTCTGACACATAGGAATAAGTTAAATTTAACTACTAGAACTGACTCTAAGGCAGGCCTAACTTGCTAGTTACCAGTAGGAATAAATTATTTTATGTATTTATCGTAGGTACTCGGGATTGAACTGAGAGGAACTTTACTACTGGGCTATATCCCTAGTCTTTTTTTTTTTTTTTTAGCTTTTGAGACAGTATCTTTCTAAGTTGCTGAGGCTGATCTCAAACCTGAGGTCCTCTTGCCTTAGTTTCCTGAGTTGCTGGGATTACTGGCTATTCTTATTCATAATTGAATGAATTTAATTAACCTGACTTTTAACAATTGCCTTTTAAGAATTACCTAAGGCAACTCAAAACTGGAAAATGGTGGGAAGTTCTTATTGGGAATTAGGAAGTGTGGGGCAGAAAAAAAATCTTTCCTCATCATTCTTGGTTTCATGGCTGAGGCCCCCATGACAAAGAACATGTTAACAAGAAAAAAGAATTCAAATTTATATAATATACATTTTACATGATATGGGATCCCTCATAAGGAAAATAAGACCAGAATAAAACAGTTAAATTGATATGCTTTCATTGTTAGGTTTGATGAAGAGTGGATAGTTGTAAAGGAATAATATGATAAAGCAAAAGTAGTATACTTAATTGGGAACAAATGGGAAAGCTTAGGAAGGCCTGTTTGTTCAGATTCTTCTCTGAGTCTCTCTGTTTTTAGAGACAAGGGTATTCCTTTCCTCTGGAACGTGAAGGTCTTATAACCTGCTTTTGAGAAGTGTCAGAGTGACCTTTCTCCTCTTTCTGTTTTCTCAGATTTTTTCAGCTTGAGATATTCAATGTGCTATGGTGCCTTGTTTTGGGATTAGTATTTAATTTTAATTGAAATGCTTTATAAGATTGATACCGAGAGTTTGGAATGTGTCAAAGGGTGATTATCTACTCTGTTGTGAGCTTCTTACAGTAAGACATATGTACTATATTTCTCTCAGTTTTGTCTTTGTCTAGGGGTTCCACTAGCCTAGGCTTGCATATAAAAAGTGCTCAACAAATATATTATAATTAGTTGAAAAAAGGTGTTGGGAAGAGGCCAAAGACAATTTGCTAGTGCAAATCTTCTGCCAAAGAAAAGGAGATTCTTCTTCCTATTATATATATCATATATGTTTATCTTCAGTATTTATAATTCATATAGTAATTGCTATAAAAATTTGGAAACATGTAGTTTGTAATTTCATAATCAGTTCTGTTTAAATATTTTATTTTCCCCAATCTCCGGATTTTTAAAATTTGGATATGTTCACAAGATTTATAATAATTAGGTTAATTATAATTTTTCTATGGTCTGTTTACTTATTTTAAATTTTAAAAAATTTTATTTGAAGAATTTAAACCATACACAGAGTAGTGGTACAAATCTCTATATATTCATTACCTAGCTCCAGTAATCAATCACATCCATATCAACACTCATTTCTTCATTTATTTTCAAGTAAATTCAGACATCATATTTCATCTGAAAAGTTCAATTATACAGCTAATATATAAGGACTCTTTAACATAACCAAAGTAGCATTTTCATACTTTAAAAATAATTCCTGGAACTAAGGATGTACCTCAGTTGGCACAGTGCTTGCCTCACATACATAAGGCCCTAGGTTTGATCCCCGGCACCACACACACGCACATACACACACTCACACAAAATTCCTAATATTATCAAATATCCATGAAGTGTTCAAATTTTTAGTTGTCTCTTACCTGTTGCAGTTTTGTTCTTATTATTGTTTTGTTCCAGTACCAGGTTCAAAATCCAGGGTTTTGCACATGCTACATTAGCCCCTGCAAGATATATGGTTTAATATGCTCCTCAGTCTTTAACTTTTTCTTTTTCTTTTTTTTTTAAAGAGAGAGTGAGAGAGGAGAGAGAGAGAGAGAGAGAGAGA